AATTGACGTCAATTAGAGAATTATTAAAAATCATTTAGACATTGAAAAATTAGTAAACTGGAATATACTTGTCTATGGATACATAACACAAGTCAGTTAAAGTCAGTAAAATTAAAGTAGTAGTATTATTAGCAGTTGGTGCTGAATGTTTTACGTCTTATGAGATAATAGAAAATGACTGATAAATGTTAATCTTGTGGTTCAATTGAACACTAGATAAGCAACTTATAATGATCTGAGTACACTGTCTTTAACATTTCACTATACAATTATACTAAAACAATTTCTTTAGGCTTGAAATCGTTGAATTATAAAACATTAACTCACCCTTAGAATTACAGTTGAGCGTACTAAAAATACTACGGTATGCTCTCTATTTTACTATTTGTCTTCTATAAAGCAGTATCTCACTAGCAGTGCATCATCACATTGTACCTAAATATTCAGACGATTCTCAATCATTCGTGAATAATTATCTACGTATCTTGATTCAGTTATTTTATTTGTATACATTGAAAGTTATTTTCAACTACATTGTATTGTACACCTTTAACTCATCTATAATAAAATTTTCAGATTATATCTCTTTTCATAGGAGTTAGTGTCTCAATAGCATTCATAGTATCGTTGTTATTGAGCAATTCATAAATGAATTTCTATGCCTACAAGGTTGTGTGGATTGCGACTGAAAGTAATGACAGTAGTTATTGCTGTCGTTATTAACGTAGAAGACTTTTCATATGAATAAATAAATCAGAATCAAAAACTGCATTCACTAACTTAGCCTTTAATACAAAAGCAATGAAATGGATTCCAGTTCAGCTGATTAATGTCATACCTCACCATCTTTTTATGAAAGTGATCATTAAGATTCAATCGACAATTTCAATCTTTATTCGTTTGTTTTAGATGAAATTGTGAACATGTATATTACTGAGCGGAAGTAGTTACTGGTGTTATTTGTAGTTATTGTGGAAAATAAACAGTTTTACGTATTTTTCAACGACAGAACAAAGTGAAGGAAATTGATCTTGTCTTCATTTGATTTGGTTAACCGTTTTAAAACATAACTCAATATTTAAACAAAGAACAAGTATTCTAAATTTCAGTACCTAAAATTAGGTTATAATCTGATATTTTAAATGTTTTTATTAAACTGTACAATATACCAATTGTACCACATCTACATAAGTAGTTGATATTGGATTTTTACTACGGTGATCTCAACAATAAATTTACTGGCTTATAGTTTGAATAGATTAAGCTCTGTAAGTGAAAGTGTTTTTATTAATTATATCTTATAAGTTTACATCCGTGGTGTCTACTTTTGCGTGTTTTTAGGCAAGATATTTCAAAAATATTTAGTTTAACATTTTCGTTTATTCCTAGTTATATAGTTGCTTCTTTTATCATATAAATTTTAACCCTCAAACGGCACATGTTTTATGTATGTGTATTAACTTTGGCAGGTTGTTTCCTAGTCTATCCTTTTAGTGACATCATATTACTAATAGTTCGTTGTTACCAAAAAACATATTTTATATTTTCTCAAAATAGTGGAAACTTCACTTCGAAAACATTTGTGTTGTAGTTTCGAAAGATTAATCGTTATATATAGTCGAAATAGGATCAATAGATTGTTATGCTGTAGCTAACCAAAACCCCTTGTACTTTCTCCAGCATTAAAAACTAATAACGTTCAAGTTATCTACTATATATAAATACCCTTTTATGAATACACAATATGACACTAGTTATAACTAAACAATAATTTAGGTTTATAACAATCTCGGTTCTATAGCAAATTAGCCGATACCCAAATAGCTTAGTAGTATCGTGTCTACCATTGTGGCATATGGTTTCATTCTGGTTTGAATCTTATCAGAATATCAATTTTCTAAGAATCGAGGATAAGTTTTACCAGAGTTCCAACTAACACAAAATCCTAGATTCATGATTTTCTGTTAGTTGGCTCCGATCTTAAAATTTTCGATAGCAAAGTAGAAGAATTACCTATCTTCTTATTTATACATTCTAAGCAATGGAATATTTTAATCCATTTAGGTGAAATTTCTACCAGCCCAGAGAAACTAGTAAATCGTGATTTTTTAACTGAAGAATTTCAACATTTTCTTAAAAATAATAAATGATATGCATAAAATAATTGCATTTTTTACTTTAACATGTAACCAAGATGTCAATGCAACTTTTATTGAAAATATTTAAAACATAAAACTTCAATAATAATATGTCCAAAAATATCTTTATTAGAATCTCAGTTAATATTGAAGTTTCTATTTAGAAAGTGTTATAAATAGATCTTATTTTGTGATCCAAGCTGTAATATACTCTTCACTATTGATCATATTAAAACTTTATATATTTTGCTTTATACAATTATATATGATTTGATCGGTTATTGAACTTTCAAAGCTAAGATTCACAACGTTCAATATTGCATATTTTATGTAAGAAGGAGAAAAAAGACAGTCAGCATGAAATTACTTGTAAATTGTATTTTATATGGAAAAGTAATTTCATACTTCTACTGGGAATGTAAGCAGTCATAGGCAACAATACTTAGCTTTCTAAGATTTCTGAATCCTTAATATTATTTTATGCGTACCATTTTCATGATTAAAAGTGTACTGTAGTGTCTATTATTATGTTAAGCCTAAATACCTTATTTTAACTTCCGGACAGCCCATTCTATTTATTCTACTTGAGTCACATTTTAACCTTGTTAATTATTCGCTTATCAATCTTGACTGTTTTTATATGAGAGCGTAGGCGTGCGTACACATCTTATCCCGCTGTTCATCACATGTGTGTAACTTATTTTTGTATGCCTATAAATATTGATTAACGCTTGGTTAAATGGGAGTTGGCTTACCAGCCATCTCGACCGCGCGTCGATTTTGCTTCGCTTTCTTTTCTTCGCATCGTTTCCCCGTTTGTTTGACTGATCAACGATTATACAAAATATATGTATCCAAAGTTCCATTCTCGTTATTTGACCTATTTAATTCCGTTATTGACTAACGCGATTTAAGTCAATGATTATATACGAGGATAGGCGATAAGAAACATTCATACGATCAAATCGGAGTCAGATAACGGGCCACTAAAGTGGAGAGCCCTTCGGCAACATCGTCCGATCTAAATGACGACAAAACAACTGGCTCCACAGTACATATAGTTTGCATACCTAATTTTATAATGCAATTGAACAGAAATATTACTATTCGAAAATGACTTCTTTGGTATAATTTATTTGTTTTCATATTCTATGTCATACTTGATTAGATTTATTTATTACAAAAACTCTATTTTACATCACCTTTGCATTTCATGTAACATTTACAATTAATACTCGAGTGTTTATTACGATCATTAGGCAATAGGTACACTATTTCTTTATCTCTTAACCAAATATAACTGAAATTCCATAACGCCAAAATTTAAAATAAAATAACAACAGTGGTGAATAGTGGGAGATATAAAATAAAACTAAGATCTAAAATAAACAAGTATATCAAGCTGACGAGTCCCAAATAGGACGAAACGTGTATCCTAGATTCCACTGCTAGCCACCTACCATCTTTCTTTGCTTGTAATGTTCGATTTTGTTGTAGTATTCCATATCTTTGCCTTGTTTTTATACATGAAGAAATAAGTAAGATTTTACCATAATGATAATGAGAAGAATCGATTTTTAATTTTATTAAATTATAAAATTTGTGTTTCTTCTTCCATTAGGTATTTGTCTCATTGTTTTCATAAAAATAACTCATTTTTGTTAAATCATCTTCTTATCTCGATAAATAGAATTGATTGAACGTGAATTAATTTTCAGTTAAACATTTTTTAATTTTAATTTTGATTCATTCAATGATATTGATAATTTATAATAATTGATTTTATACTTTAAATGTTACGTAATAATTAACTATGAACATTGTTACTAGATTTAATAACATAGTTTTAAATTACAAATAATACCGATATTATCTGATTAGTTACTTATTTAAATGTATGTAGGTTGATTTGTTTTAATTAAAAATGTGATTAGTTTCTTTGATTTGTTAATCAGTTTGAGAATAAGTTTATCAGAAGAGTTCGGTGGATATTAGAGTAATTTCAATGGTTAAGATCATGAGTCAATTAAAGCTAGACCATCATGGAAAACCTGGAAGAACTGGACGGCAGTTTCGTCCTATTGTGGGACTCAGCAACGCGCATCCACGACCTCACCCTCCGCGAGATTCGAACTCAGGATCTATCAGTCTCGCGCTTGAGTGCTTAACCACTGAACCACGGAGCCGGATCGTATCCAACTGTGTTAGTGTCTAACTTCAACCAATTCACGAAATTGAGCAACACATCCACCAACGCCGTCTAGTGCTTCCAGGTTTTCCATGGTTGTCTAGCTTTAATTGACTCATGATCTCAACCATTGAAATAAGTTTATGTTGAACTCCTACATTCAAGCTGAACTCATTGATTTTTGCGGTGCGTGCTACTGATGTCGATAGATATATGTATTATGTATCATAAATCGAAAGTGAAATGTCTGAAGACAGAATGTCAAGAAGATCAAATAAAAGTGAACGAGAACAAAGAATGATTGGCGTGGGAACGAAAGAACAAAGAAATCTGAGACATTTCACAAATGAAGTATGTTTCTCAGATTTGACTAAAATGTTTTGTAATTTTGTATTCACATACATTCAATTACCCTCACTTATGCTCTCGTTCACTACACTTTTAGTATTCTTTAACAAAGGGACCAGTGAGGACAAATAAAGTGAATCTATATTTTTAAAATTAAATTATCATTTAAACTTGATTCAATTTAATGGAATAAATTAAAATATGGAAAAAGTAAAATAAAACTGTTATCTTCTATTACCATGTTATTCTTATCAAATTTTATCTACTTGCAAACAATACGTAATAAAATATTTTTTAAAATTCATTTTATACTTTATATTTATTAGCTCTTTATTATCCAAAGCGATCGGATTTCTCGCCTCGTTTAAAAAAGAACCAACCATTTATTGTTCGAATCAATGAAGATGCAAATTTACGTTATTATTCTGATGAATCACCATCTAACTCATTTGTTACCGATCAGATCTCAAATCCAACACCAAAAATTATGTAAGCAAGTGTTTGTATTTTTTTAAAAAGGAACATTTACCTAGTTACCTATATATTGTCTTGATTAGAGCAGTGTGTTATTTACCTAGATAACAGAGAAAACAGTAGAAAATACATCAAATCAATTATTGTTATCATCCAACTTAAATGTCAATAGATAAACACACGATCAACTTGTTAGATTTTATTCACAAATACCAATTGTTTCAGTAGATTTTATGTATTGTGATTCAGTGCTACAAAATGTTAGCTGATTGTTCTTTTATCATTTTGATTGAAATATGCTCTTCATGTTCTAATAACAAGTTCAGAAGATAAATAAAATATCTGAGTAGAGTGACATTATTAAATCAGATGCCAGAATCTCGTGAACAATCTCAACGATGGTTACGTCATAAAGTAAACTTATAGCACAGATATATTTGTACACATAGTTCAGGATTTCTTTTGTCACAGTTTAATTATTCAGTGTGTTCATCATATTTTAAGTTCATTTTTTAGATAGATAAAATAGATCAATGTATAACATCTATAATATTGGTAATATTATTAGAATCTTTATTCACTAGCTTGTGTTCAATTGTAATAAAGAATCCACAACAACAAAATTATGTAAGTGCTTAACTTGCAGTTATTCATAAAATACATATGAAATCGTTTCCATCAATGATAATCTACCACTTACATTCATTCTTAAATATCTCTAATCAATTATACTCCTATGACTTCTCTTTTCGTCGCTTAATAAACTTTTTGTATGGATTCTTTGGCAATCTCTATTCGTTTATTCGAAGGAAAGAGGGGGAAAATATTAGAACCGTTCTGTTAGTTCTCAAGTTTTCCAGCAATTGGATTTTTGATAGGTTGTGAACATTTTACAGAAAGGCTAATAAATAGTTTATGAAAACGAGTCTGAAATAATACTTTATAGAAATAAATGCACATTTGTAAAAGTTATGACCCAGAAATTCGAACAGTTCCCTATAATCACAGTCACTCAATGTGATCTTCAACACACTTATTTCTAGCGTCTATATCAAATACTATAACCCGAAACTTATGAAGAACAAATTGTTACTGGAGTATCCTATATAAATGAATAAAAAATTATTCCGCTTTACATTTTGTATTTTTACGTTTCTTAAGTATTTTAATATTTCAATCGTTGAGATCATGAGTCAGTTGAAGCTAGACCACTATGGAAAACGTAGAAGTACTGGACCGCCGTTTCGTCCCATTGTGCGACTCCCCAGCAGTACGCAACCACGATCTCGCCCCCCGCGAGATTCGAAACTAGGACCTATCAGTCTCGCGCGCGAGCGCTTAACCTCTAGACCATTGAGTCGGCATCCAACTGTGATAATGTTTAACTTCAACTAATCGACGGAATTGAGCGACACATCCACGATTGTCTTTAGGGAGTTACTATCTCACAATTAAACCCAGTTGAACTCCACTGGTCACTGCTTCTCACCAGAACTACAGGATATATCTCTTGAAGCCAGTCACTGGTGAGCATATGTTGATAATATCAGAAGGGGTGTTTTGGATATTATAGTCATTTCAACGGTTGAGATCATGAGTTGGGTAATCACTCGAGCGCGGGATTGATAGGTCCTGTGTTCGAATCTCGCGATGTGCGAGATCGTGGATGCGCACTGTTGAGTCCCACAATAGGACGAAACGGCCGTCCAGTGCTTCTACGTTTTCCGTGATGGTCTAGCTTTAACTGACTCATGATCTCAACCATTGAGATTACTATAACATCCGCAAACCCCTTCTGATATTTAAATATTGTTGAAAACTACATTTATGGGATGTTGTTGAGATACCATGACCTCGAAATGAGCAATTTGAAAGTTAGACAAATACTCTGACCAATGACATTGAATAAGAATCATATTACACCACACATCGACTAACATTAGAAAAATGTGAATTACAGAATTTCAACCTAATGGTTCGGTTAAATTATGCAGAATACTACATAGGCTAATGGTCTTAAGATTGTGAATGTACACAACTCAGAAATATAGAATTTTGAATAAAACAGTTATCTGATGTATGATAATTTCCAGTGATTTGCTTAAATAGCATTAGTTCTTGGAAAAATCAACTTCAATTATATCAAAAACCTTAGAACTTCATTGCTTAATAATATTTATTTTTAAAGTTAGATTAAATTCATACACTGAAATCATTTATAGTAATATAATTAAACTTATATATATATATATATAACCAGCTGTCTTGTTTATGTTTATGATGAATTGTAACATAAGATCCATCTCTTGTTTCCGAATCTTTAATGTCAACATATTTCCTAACTGGTTCATACATTTATTCATGTAACCAAAATTCTTCAATTATTCACATTTATCTATTTTGACTAAAACAGACTATTCATGATTGTATTAAATGAATAATTGTTATATATATATATATATATATATATATATATATACGATACACCTTTATCATTTTTTCTATGATGACTATGGTTATTATGTATTATGAATATATAATTCAGTGCAATATTTCAATTGTCAAGATTGTTTGTTTTAAAAAAAGAAACAACAACAACGAAACAACAGCAACAAAGCAATGGCTGACACAGTATTTTCTTGATTAAGTATTATTGTAACAATTTACGTTGTTTTTTTCTACTACAGTTTAGTTGAATTACTCAGACATGTATACTTATGTAAATTATGTGTATTTATCAATTTATTAAACTATCATGTATAAAAGAACAATTAACTTCTTTATTTATAATTAATTAATTCTTTCACTCACATTGTGTTACATTTCAACGGGTAATTTATAATTCTTTTCTGAACTGCCCACAATAAGACCAATCTAGTACTTACTCGATATTCAAAATGAATATATATACACTCATATACATTTGCAAATACAAACACATTTACACAAAAATAATGACCGAATATTCAATGCTTAATGAATTACCTTAAGATTATAATTAATAATCAGGATCATTTAGAAATATAATCATAATTTCAATGTTTCAAATTATGTATCATTGTGATATTCGTTACATAAATGTAACATTATGTTTATCTGATTTTTTTTGTTATTGTTGTTGAAATAATGAAAAATGATTTACGATTTTGTGATAATGATTATTACAATTGTAATTGTATTAAATATGATAACATAAAGTTTTATTCATTAATCATGTGTAGAACTTATGCTTTATACGTGTTCAATTAATTTTTAAGTTTTAAGGTTCATAAAGGAATTTAGATGAATAATGATTTAAGAGATTAGATTATTGATAAGACTATATGGTTATGGTGTCTATGATTAAATGAAACATTTATTTAGTAATCTATGTTATTCATTGTTATTGAATTAAAGCTTCTCATAAACTCAGAACAATCAATCTTAAAAAAGAGTTAAATCAACACGTTTTTTTGAAACCGTCAAAAGAACAGTAGGAATGTTCAGATTGTATATTTTATGTTAATTAGTCAAGTTTTTTTTTAATAAAGATCTATTATTTTCTAATAAATCACTTTACAGGAGCATCAGTAATCGATTCATATCAAGACAACATTGAAATCAGAAACAACAAAATATTGTGGTTGAATTAAACCGTAACTGTAAAAGCGGGTGTATATCTAAAAATAGACATATTTGTTTTTCTATTTCAGTGACGATTAACAATGACTAACCTACTTTTATTACTTATAGATGGCATAAAAAAGATGAGCATCAATCAATTCCTATTTGGCCTCCAATTTCGTCATCTTCAATGGTAGATGAATCAAAGTTGAATGGTCCAAGACCTAGAATTTATGCCTTACGTGGACGTCATTTAGTAATTCATTCTGTTACTGAATTAGATTCTGGATCATATGAAATGATTTTAACGAATACTGCTGGTCGTGCATCTATTGTATTTGATATTTTAGTTAATTGTGAGTAAATTATTTAAAAGTTACATTATTCTTTATTTGATAATTAAATATTGTTTATATAATATATGAAGAACTTACTTACTTACGCCTGTTACTCCCAATGGAGCATAGGCCGCCGACCAGCATTCTCCAACCCACCCTGCCTTGAGCCTTCCCTTCTAGTTCTATCCAATTCTTGTTCATTTTTCTCATGTCTGTATTTCTCGGCTTAATGTGTATTTCGGTCTTCCTCTTCTTTTTTGGCCTTGAGGGTTCCATGTGAGGGATCGCCTTGTGACTCAGTTGGGTGCTTTCCTCAATATGTGTCTTAACCACTCCCAGCGCTTCTTCCTGATTTCTTCCTGCACTGGGATCTGGTTTGTTCTCTCCTATAGTAGGTTGTTGTTGATAGTGTCTGGCCAATGGATCCGAAGTTTTTTGCGTGAACAACTGTAAATGAACACTTGTATCTTCTGGATGATGGCTTTCGTAGTTCTCCAAGTTTTCACCCCATACAGTAAAACTGTTTTGACATTTATATTAAAAATTTTCACCTTGGTGTTGGTTTACAGTTGTTTTGTGTTCCAAATGTTCTTCAGTTGTAAATATGCTTCTCTTGCTTTGTCGATCCGCGTCTTCACATCTGCATCATATCCACCGTGTTCATCAATGATGCTGCCCAAATATAATATATATGAAGATTAAATATTATAAACCTTTCATTCATTAACATGTATAAATTCATCAGTTATATATTCTCCAATTCATATAACAATATTATCTATTGTATAATGAAAATTGAATTCTGACAACCTTTCATTCCGATGTATTTAATTTTTTATTATTGAAAAATTTAGATATTTTTTCTCTTTTTGCTTACTCTCATCTAAAAAATATTTTCAACAAGGAAAAAAAGAGAAAAAAAAGTAAAATTCATAAATTATTTAAGTATATTTTAAATATAAATTTTATAGATTGAGTATACTTTGATCTTGTTAACTAAATGAATTATGTATTCTTTAACGGGGTGTTTTTTTTAATAAAATTATTTATTTTCATATATTCTATTATTCAATTTTTTTCGGTATTCAATATCAGTTGTCATATTATCATCTATTAGTAAAATAGAATAATCGTTAGAAATGAATAAAATTGATTTTTATAAAGTTTAGTAACAATTAATTGATCAAATTATAACCAGGTATTTTATGATAATTTTTTTATTATTAATTAAATAAGTTACTTATATTCTACCCGTTAGTATTATGGTGTGTGTTAATTATATCAATATAAGTAGTATATAACATGAGTCAAGAATATAATGTCTGATAGCAAATGATTAAGTAGATCATGAAGGAAAAAAACAGGAACAGAAAGCGATTGATATGAAAATGCAGGAATAGTTGAGTTTGAGACAATTGATTGATATTTTGTAAATTGATTGATTAATGGATGGTTCTTAGATTTTACTAAGATGTGCTGTAATTTTATGTTCAAATACATTTGGTTGTTGTCACTCTTGTTATCGTTCACTACAGTATTTGCTCAATAGGTATTACACAACAGGATGAAACGGCCATTCAGTGCTTCCGGATTTACCATGATGGTCTAGCTTCAATTAACTCAAAATCTTAACCATTGAAATTATTATAATATCCACAAAAAAACCTGATATAAATCAGTAGGTATTAGTTACAATTAAATATTGTTGGTCACAAAGTTGCGGTTCTAATAATTTATTGGTAAAAATTCAGATAGTGACAGTGAGTAAATGACATGCATTCGAATCTCATACAAAAGTTCATTTCCTTTAAAATTATATGTACACTTTTGCTAATAAATGTAAATCAGCATATTCTATTAACTGTCACATGTCATCTAACTTTATTGTTATATGTAAACTTTTTTTATTTCAGCCATTTTTCTATCTCAGATAAATGTATTCCTATTTGACATATAAACAGACGTTCAGTGACCCGATAATAACGATGTAGGGAATCAATGATTATCCCTACTGTTTATCTTACAGTTGAAATTTATCATTTCTAAATGAGCACCAATAAATATCAATACTTTTCAGCATGCTAGATTGACACAACATTATTATTCGTTAAGTTGATCAAGTTAGTTAAGAAGTTTCAAATAACAAATTGAAATCTGGAAATAAAGTCAATTCAATAGTAATAACTAAACGATTCAACAGTTGTACTATATGACTAAACATCTTTTATGTAAACACTCTTTGTATTGTGACATAATCGATATGGTAAAATTCTTGTCTTAAATAAGAGAAATTGAATGTATTAACCATTGGAATTATATTTTTGTGACAAGTATTTTACTATTTTACATAAGGATACATTGATAATGAATGTATAGCTTATCTTTCAGTAATATTGGTAAATATTATTTGTTCTTATATTTGTTTCTAATGAATAAATTGAATAGTAATATAATGAGTGATATGGGTTACGTAAATATGACAGTACATGTGGAAATACTTCTCACAAAGTCAAGTGAAGTCAACAAATTATCACATTCATCAAGATTTAAATAATGCGAATTTAGGGAAGAAGCAATGGGATTTTTGATGTTTACAACAATGTTATTTTGTTGGTGGAATGAAATAATTTAGGTAAATGAAAACTATGTTGAACCAGTGAACAATAAAAATATAAAGTATAAAGATATCAATTTCTCTATTCATTTCACTTATCTCTCATACCCTTTATTGTAAGCTTACATATCTCTGTAATAATAATTTGTCATCTATCGTCATTGCTTATCAGTTCTCTTTCATTTCACTCATATTTTAATGTATATAACTGATGGAGAAATATGGCAACTCATCAAGCTCAAAACACATTTGTTATATATTAATTAACACAGATTTACTACCATACCTGATAATGACAGCAGAAAACAATAACATTTCACTCTGGAAAAAAACATACTCAAAATAATATATCATCAACAAGACAACTTTATATCAATGAAACTTCGTGAATTTCATCATTTATGATAAATCCGCTTGGTGTTGTTTACTTGTATCTTCCTATTGTTATTTAGGACTACAAGTGATCAGTCTCTTCTTGGCATATGTGCATTCTGTGCGGATTGTCTCGATATTGCCTTAAGTCACAAGTTTTATAATCAAAGATGGATAGTGGCTAGCAGTGGAATTCAGGACGGGCGTCTCCTCCTATTTGGGACTCGTCAGCTGGATGTACCGGCATCTCAAATCTGTTCACTCTATGACCCGAACCCAGTACCGTTTGCTTCAAACGCTATTGCGTTATCCACTTAGCCATGTTTGCTTATAGTTGTGATAAAGATTTGGTGTTAAACTATGTATCATGGTCGCGTTATTAGAATCAAATTTTTTCCATTTAGCTTACAAACTGTGATCAATAAAAACAGGAATAGTAAAAATACCTACAGGTTAACTCGTCTTCATTACACAATCTTGAATAAATATTTTGAAACTATAATAATTATGTATCAGAGTCTGTAGTTGTGCTACTAGAAAATATAGATGTAATTTCCAGAATGGTGATAGTATTTTCTCAAGGTGTGTAAATGAATCATTCTTTATACGTACTGATGAATATGAAACATGAATTTCATAATTTTCGTCAGATGCTTATATCAAAAGTTTTACTTTTTTAAAATCATTCTAATACAATCTATGATCTTGTATAGTCGTTTGATTTTATTTTAGATTTCCTTCAAGATTATTCTAACTTGTTAAACAAATGAAAAAATTTAAACCGTTTTAAACAGACATGCTTTTATACACTCATCTGTTTAGGTTGTTTTACTATACAGTGATTGTGTTGATCATTAAAATTACAATTCATTAAAAAAGAAAGTAATTTAACGCCTAAATGTGTCGGAAAACAAAATAGCATTAAGGGCATAATTCTGTTGTAATTTGTTTTAATGACTAACAAGAAAGAAAGTAGAAACTGTTAATATTTAAACCTGTTATAGTAGCTCGATAATGTTAGTTATTCAAAAGTTAATCACCTGTTCATATGATTATGGCTAAGTAAACTTGACAATTTTTAATTGTATTCCATATTTTGTACCACCAACTGATCTTGGCTAAATAACCTTTGAAAACCAGAAGTCACTGAACAACTGTTTCGTCCTAGTATGGAACTCAGCAGTAAGCATCTACGACTTCGCATCTGTAGACCGAATCCATACCCTTCGGTCTTGCACTCAAATCCTTAATCTCTAGATTGCCGAGCCGGAATCCAGTAGTTTGTATGTCTTGCTTCAATCAACTTATGATATTCCATCTATTGTCTTCGTCGAATTAATGCCTCAAACCCGACGTGGTTGTTAGCTTACAATTCAACCGAATAGCATTTTTGTTTTATTCTTCATTTAATAAGTATTACTTTCTACCATAGACACACATTTGTACTAGTTCTATTACTCTGTATGGTAATTCTACTTAACATTCATTAAATCCCAGTCCACTTGTCAGTTTAATGTTGTTAAGAGATCGTACTTAAGAGTTCTTCATCTAAAAGTGTAAGTAATCACTTTGAAAAATAATTTTCCTGCAATTTCATCTTTCAAATACCTTCTAACAAATACCCTAATCTACTGCTTCAATATTCATAAATCTAATCATGAATTCGATTAATCACATTTAATAAAGTTTTTAAAAATCTTGATTTTAGTCCCACCTGAATTCTACCAACCATTAACTCATGAAGAACATGCTTTAGACGAAGACAGTTCCATTACACTAGATTGTGGTATTAAAAAGCGTTCAATTCCAGGAAGTATTGTCTATTGGGAAAAAGATCAACGTGTTTTAGAAAAATACGCCAATAGTGTAAGTTTATAATTATGTAACTTTACAATCTATATTTACCGTCATATTTCACAATATAATGCGTAAATATATACCTCATAACACAGATATTCAACATTTTCTATTATTATAATTTGTTTATGTAGTTGTCTGATAGTGAATGATACCATCTTACTATATTGAGTAAATGGGGTAAGGAGGTTTGAACCTACAACGTGAAGGCTGAAAGTCGATTGTTTTATCCACTTAGTTATCGCTCGGTTTCACTACACAATAAGTATTGTTGTTGCTTTAAGTGCATAATTTGCTGGCCAGTTTACTTTTATCAAACAACTAATTCTTCCTTAACATCAACTAATAAATAAATTTGTTTAAAGCTTATGGTTTTAGAGAATAATGGTGAAACTTTACGATTTCCTGAATTGAAACCCGAAGATCAAGGTCAATACCAATGTTTCGTTCAAACTGATGGATACAAGGAAAGATGGTCTGGTCGTGAACAAACCTTAATTGTTAAAGGTGGGTAAGATCTCATCAACCATTTGATCTTGAACGAAGTAACTAGGTCTTATGTTTAAAAGGGATGTAAGTCATAGATCTCTTTGAGTTATTCGAAATATTACATTTTGATAGACACAGTTTTCTTGTAAGTAATACGTACATTTAAAATGCTTGAAAATCAGTATATCGAAAACATTTAATCATTATACGAGTAGGATTTTATTTTTACAACATTTCAGGTCTTAATGTGATGTCTGCATAAATTTGCTTTTCGTATAAGAATGCTTTTTAAAACAAGTTTACTCAAATTTAACCTAATGTTGGTAAAAACTATTTACTTGAAAGAAGCTAGGTACAATTTATTTCGAAGCGGCAACTCAAAGTTAAGAATGATCAACTTGTAGTTACTAAATTATAGGTTTAAACCCTTCTCCATGTACTTTGGTTTGAGCAACCGAGTAGTATCACTAGAACACAGCACACACAATTTTATTTTAAAAAGTCAAAATACGTTCTAAAAAATGTTTTTCGTTTACCTGATAAGTGTTTTCTAACCTTATCGGCCTTCATTTACTTAATATGCTTAATGTCTGATTGTATTTTCTCATTGACAATAGATTACTTTCAAATTAGTTTGACAAATTTAACAAGTGAAGAACTATGATATCCAGACTACTACACACAAATCTGTCAAAAACCATGTAATGTGAACCTATAAGAATCATGACTTCTCTACTAATGTGATGCAATGATACATGGTGCTATAAAAACCTCTTTCCTGTACTCACCGTTAGAGAATAATAAAGCTTGCTAAACTGAAATCATAAGCACGCTCTGTATTATTTCTATCATATAGAATCCACCACTTTATAGATGATGTACATGAGAAACATTGTTAACGAGGACACATAGGTTCGCTAACTAATAACTATGATTTTTGTGTAAATTCTCAACATAGTTTTAAATTATAAGCATGAAGAACTATGTTTATTGCAAAAACTATTAAAGATTGATTCTCATCTGTTTTGACATCAAAATTTATGAATGCTATTACTTTGTATTTATAAAAATATCACCATTAGCTCAAGGCAATGAATATGATAATCAAAATGCGAAGAAAGGTTTTAGTCATTGTTTAGTGTACTCTACATATTTTGACAGATATAAGTAGTATGTAGCACCAATCGGAAGTGTAAAGCCTGACGGCAGAAGATTGAAATGAAGAGAATATGAAGGAAATCTGAGAGCTATCAAAATAACAGAATTAAAGGAATTATTGGGTGTGTATAAGACAACGCAAAGAAGATGTACATATAGTGGGTGTTTAATGTGTATTTTAATGCGTGACTTTTATGTTTTACTAACGCACTGTGTGATTTTGCGTTAAACAACAAATTGGTTACCCCCACTATCTTCGTTCACTTCAATTGTTCTTCTAGAGATAATAATGAACTATGTCTAGACTGTTTGGAAACTGATTATTAATCAGTATACTATATGGTAATCACCTTGATGCACTGGTCCAAATATATAAGAACAACACTTATCTAAAAATACAAACTCTTAGAATGCGATAATAACTGTTCTCGAGAAACAACCAACCAAATGTACTTTAATGTTGTTTCATAGAGCATACCACACTTTTATGAATGATAGTTACTTAGTCTTTTATCTGCTTTTTTTCTTTATACTCTAACTGTAGCTAAACTGCAATTTTTACGTGAATTTCGTGAACATTTTCTTGAAATTAACATGCAAGGACGAATACCATGTAAAGCTAGAGGTTATGGTACAGTAACTGTTGAATGGTTTCGTAAAGCTGGTCCACATTCTAGTGATTTGCAAAGAATTCGCCCGCCGAATCAAGTAGAAGGTGGTACTTTAATTATCCAGTATGTTCAAAAACATGATGCCGGTGATTATGTATGTATAGCCAAGTCAACATATAAGGATGCTCAAATTAATATGACTGTCAGTGTTATTGTTGGAGGTAATTTTAGTTGGTCACTGTCTTATACATATAAATCGAATATAATGTATACTCCTCATTTCCATCAGAATTTTCACGGCGATGACTGGGTATTTATTAGCTCAGCCACGGCTGTTATTTAATATTGATCGGTAACCATACTATATAGTTAAATTTTGAGCGATGATGACAATAAATGAGCGTTTAATTTATCTACTGCACATTTTCAGGTTTATAATAATTCAATAACATTGAACGCACTACGTTCACTAGTTACAATGCTTGTTCTCTGTTTATGGTAAATATGCCTGTGAACACCTATATATGTATTAAACGTAAGCAAATCATTATAGTTCCGTTACTTAACATTTCATCCAATAAGTGTTATTTTGTTTCAAAAAGATAACACTTCCTGTCTTGGACGCCATTCAATGAAGATAAAGAAATCTACAATAAATTTTCCAGTTGAATGGTCTTTTCCAAAATATTGATTTCTTATTTGTTTAAGTACTTTTTCCTCCTGATCAAAAGTGCCTGTTTAATTCTATATATCGGTACATTCTATGGACTCCAATAAAATATTTTTCTTTTAAATATTATTACCTGTCGTACTTATGTGCATTTTGATATTCTGGCCAGTAATATACTGGTGTTCATTCTAACTAAATATCTTTGAAAGTTCTTAAAAGTCATGCAATTCATTTGACTGACTGTTTTACTCTTTATTGTTTTCACGTTATCTCGATATGATTGATTAGAAACTGAATGATTATAGGATATCAAATTTAAACTGACTAAAGATAATAGACAATTAAGTATAATATGAGTGGTGATTTGTTTATTTATCCTCATAATTGACAATTTTAATACCTCAGTATACATATTGAATAGATAATATCTTGTGCGGTAGCAACTTATTATTAAGATAAATCAAACTATTCTCATAGATGATATTTGAGATTCATTTAAAATCCTATCAACCCGTTAATATTCAGTATATTAATTATTTACCTATAAAGAAATAATTTATATTCACAGCAGGGGGAAAAAAGATTTTATTCATAAGTCAAATCCAATATTTACAGTCACTTTATTTTATGCATTATCGTACATTTTGTCTTATAGTCAAGTTGACATTCACAATTTTTGCAAACAATACATAAATCATATTATTTCAATTTATCATTTTGTATATTCCTCTCATATATATATATATATATATATATATATATATATATATATATATATATATATATATATATATATATATAAAGATTTGTCGGTCTTCTATATTCTGGTAGGGTTTAAGTTTGAATTCCATTTAAGATTAATGATGTAAATTGTAATTAGAAAGTGACTGACGAAGATTGTACTACCAGATAATTTTATATGATAAATAAATGATCGTCTGGTTCATTCTTATTTGAGCTTACTAATTCATTTACACATACTTTATTGCATTCTAGCTTGCTTGTTCGTTTCCCAGCTTTTTTTAATCCTTTACAAACTATTTTTCATTCGTTTTCGTATTGTATATGTATAGATAATTATTTGATGAATTGTCTTTTTTTCTTCAATGTTTATCAGTAATCGTAACATTTCCGAAGTCTCATATTACACTGTTAATCTTCTCTTATTCCCTGTTGTAAGCATTCATTTTCTTGTTCTCTATTTTGTTTTAAGCTTTTTTTAAAGTTCTTTCTTTGTATTCCTATCTGTCGCTATCTCACACACACACACATTCTTGATAGCTTAGCATTTCCACATTTACACCATTGTGATAATTTCAAGAGACATCAAGAGATATAGTATGTATATGCGTGTGAAAAATCAATAAACTTATATGCATTTTCTGTGTGAAGAGTTTTCGTTTATTTCTTATCCGTGAATGTCGAATTTTCATACTTTTTCAACATAATCTTTTTGTTTCCGCTTTACACAGTTGATTTATGAACATTTGGCTACTCGTTTGGTTATTTTTTTTTGTATTTTTGTGTCTTATTTTGACCAGTTGAGTTGATATAAATAATTACATATATATACATACATATCTTATTTGATACCTGAAATTTTCTATAAGTACTTACTACTTTTTTATAGAAGAGACCATACCAAAAAAGATTATTACTACCACCATCCTTAACCGCTCTCAGTCATCACCTAGTCATTCAAAATGCTACTTCTCCCATATATATATATATATATATATATATATTGTGTGTGTGTGTGTGTGATTAGTTTCGGCTTTCGTTTACATCTACGATCTTTAACAGACTTCCACTCTCATAAATCATCGTCATTTTCACTTTCGTAACAAAATAAACAACAAAAAATCAGGCAGTGTAATAACAATAGAGACAGCTTATATATATATATATAAATATATATATATGTATATATATATATATGCCTGTATGTATATATTGTTGTATTATCTTGCACACACATTGTGTATTAATGAGTGTGTTGATGTTCGTTTTTGTGTTTATGTGTCCATTTCATCTGGATGTAACTGGACATAGACTTTTGTGTAAGTACTTATTTGTCTATTATGTATGTTTTCACAGTGGCCTAATTCTTTTCTATGGTTAAATATATATTTATAAGAACATTACTTTGTTTGTTCCATATAATATCTATTTACAGTCAATGTAATAGTGTTAGATATATCCCGAAAATGACGATGAATTTTATGGAATTGGAAGTCTTTAGGTATAATTCTAATCGTATGATAAAATGTAATAAAGAAGAGATATGGTTTATTAAACATCTCTTGTTTTATTCTTTTCAGAGCTCATTAGTCAAATGCATGTATTCCCTCTCTTCTCCCAGACAAGATTTGTTTGTTTTCCTACTGAGAGTTAAAACACACTTAAAACCTAGTCTTGTCTCCCAAGCTACTGAGTTAAGATAATCAATCGATATATAACGAATTACATTTCTAGCTGCAATTACTGTAATCCATTAAAAGGTATATGAAGCCCCTGAAATAACCCAATAGTAACATTTCTTTGAAATCTTGAATCGATTTATGTTAGGAAACCATTGAAAACCTAGAAGCGCTGGATGGCCGTCTTGTTTCACTATAGGACTCTTGTGCAATACGCATCCACGACTCTTCGTAGTGCCTTAGCTTCGTTCATCAATCACAGTGATATAACCGTTATCATATAAATCTTAACAGTGTTTGAATTCGGAACGCAATAAGATACGGCTACTACATTTTATTAGTGGATAGCACAGATAACCAAGTTAGAACCACATCGAACAAATTGTAGTAGTGAGGCTAATATGTTTGTGCTAGCGAATACAGAGGTGAACTTATAGTCAGTTCGAATCAAGGCGCAGCTAGGCAAGACAAAGGCTATTAAAAGGATTCGAACACATATATACGTGGAAGAGAGAATGGTTCATTGAGCGATATTCAACCAAATAACATTTAAGCTAGAGAGAGAAGGTTGTCACATGTGGTCAAACGTACACATTTATACAGGCATGATAGTGATCATAATAATGCAAAGAGATAGCCGAATTATTACTGTTCGAATAACATTGTCTGTTAAATGAGTCAGTAAAAGGGCTTGACAAAAGTTAACCGTAATCTAAGTTAATCGTAGGAGTGTTGCTCTATCCTCTTCCGGCTTTTCAATAGCTATCTAGCTTATATGGTTTCAGTAAAATTCAACAGTTCAAACAACCTCATACCGCCAGTAATATTTCCATCTGAGACATTGAGAGAGAGAGATCAAAGTGTTTTTAGGTTACTCAATTTATTTGTAGTTTCAGATAGATTATTAATGATAATTTTGCGATAGCATGAGACGTATACCTCATGCTTCCTCACATTTACACTCAACCATATCAATATAATTACTGACAAACGACATTAACCACAAGTTAGCGTTATTTGTACTATTTGAAATCAAAAATTACTAAACGTGTATTTTCTTTATTAACTCCTTTCAAAACTGAATTCACACTCAGTCATACTTTAATCAATCAACTAATCTAATGCACAAATTCACGATGACTTCTTTCTTGTATATAATTTTTTAAACATTATTATTAAGCAACATTGATTTAGTAGAATAAAAAGGATTATCTCAAATTTTCTGATTAAAATTTTTCCTTTCAATAAAATTAAACAGTCCGTTGTTCTTATCTTACTTACTATTCTAATTGCAACACTATAACATTTACTGTTTTACTGCTTCATCTGCCTCTCATCTTCTATTCCTCTCGACTTAAATTCTCTTCGATTCAATTCTCCCTTATTTGTTTAGTTTGTTTGTTTTTATGCCTATAACTATGTTTATGTACACAGACACATATTCATCATTACCGCACCGATTGAGACCGATGTGTCAACATGAAATATTATTATTATTACTTTTATAACGGCTGGTGGTATTTTGTTATTCTTTTATATGTTCACTTCTTCAGAAATCAGCTACTTTGACCTGATTCTGTTTGTTTATTTTAAGTCTAGAAAAAGAAACAAATCCCAACTCGTAACGATAATAATAATGGTTACAGCTATTATTATTATTATTAATACTAGTACTAATAATGTTAATAATATGGTTAGGATTTTGTTTTATTTCATTGTTTTGATGGTACCTATATTTTCAGAAAGCTATAAATTTAAAAATATTTTTTTAAACTTGAATCTGAGGTAAGGGGTTTGATTTATACCTTTACGTGTGTTTGTATATATATACATATTCTTGTGTATGTTTAATTGGTCAGTGTTTATATTTGCTCATACATCAGTTGTTATGTTTTGTCTTGTTTATAAATTTGCACATATGACTTATGTAAATATTGCCACAATTAATTATGTTTAAATAAACCTGACAGGTAGTTGTGTAGTGTGTTGTAGTTTGCATTTTTGTTGTTTTCTTTCTGGTGAAACCTTAAAAAAACAATAACATACCAAAATAACCTAGGAAACCAAGCTGGTAACTCATCAAGTGAATACACAATGTTATTTTAATAAAACAATATTTAAAAAAAAAATTTACAGTTGTTCAAGAAAATTCTCATTCCTGATAAGTCTATCATTTATGATTATTATCACCAGCACCATAGGTAACATCAATTTTATCATCATTCATTAGGATCTTTGAAATGTTATTCTCTACTATTTTGTTTCTTTAAGTTTTCTCATTAGACATCGTAACACTTTGAATTTGTTTGTTTCAAATATCATATTGTTGTTTTTTTTCCTTTTTAATAGTTTCCTTGATTTATTAACTCATTGAATTCTTCTTCTGGTTAAATGATCATAATTTCTGTGAAAAAATAGTTTTCATTGTATCATTTAAGTCTTTTAAAAATATGTGCAAATTTAATGAGTTTTTCAACTAACGTGAGAAGTCACTTAACTATTTTTTTTCTTTTTTCTAACAACTGTGATTTATTCTAAACAATAACGAAAAACAAACAAACAATACAAATGTCGTTATATTACTTGCCCATTATATAACCCAATCACTCACTGAAAATCATTTAGGATGAAATTGTTTTCTGTTATAATACAGCTACATAAACGTCTAATTTGAGATTTAGCTCTTGAAGTTAATGAAAAATAAAATACGTACACATGCGGTAATACTTATATGTGTTTCATATTCACTATGAATTCAGTTATAATTTACCTGAATGAATAGTTTTCATGCTATGACAACATGTCTACTCAAATCATTTTCGATATATCTAATTGTTGTTCTGAAAAATACTTTACTGTTTTTTTTTAAAAAAAAAAGCTATTGGCTTCGTCATAAAACGTACTACTAGTGAATAATTCAAACATATTTCATCAATTTAATAGTTAGATTCATGAATCAATTGAAGCTAAACCACCATTGAAAATCTGGAAGCACTGAACGGCTGTTTCGTCTTATTGTGTGACTCCTCAGCAGTGCGTATTCACAATCCCGCCTCGCGAGATTTAAACCCAGGACCTATGGGTCTCGCACGTGAATGCTCAACCTCTAGACCACTAAGATAAGATTCACAAAACCCCTCTCTGATAATATTTCAATAAATATATTTAGAGCTTTTATTTTACCTAACAACTTTACATATCTCAAAGATTATTTTAAATTACTACATAGTTTTCCTGAGTTTTAAAAATGTTTCTTTAGAAAATAGAGTTAAGAAAACCATATAATATAATGAAGTTTTCGTTCTGTTACTGTGAATCATCAATGTAGTTACTGAAATCCGTTGTTCTCTTATATATATATATATATATATATATATATATATATATATATATATATACATATATATATGTATATATATATATATATATATATATATGCACACACACACTGAAAAAATTACACTTACCATAAAATTGATTTATTTTATGCTTAAAACTATCAAAAATTATGCATAACATAAATTTGCAGTTCATTATTGTTTACTCTGAAAGGAAACAAACATTTCAATTGACTGATCAGTAATATCAAAATGTGTATATACCCACCAAATATTCAAATACTTGACAGATAGAATATGTCATCTATAATTTTTGTAATAATTAAGTAATAATTAAGAAAATAAATAGTAATAGCGGTCAGACTATAAGTTATAGACGAACCAATCAGATATGAGATGGTAGATCTTGGATTTATCCATTTGGCTAAGTAGAGTTTTGGCATTTTAGCTGATGTCAGTTCGTGATGAAAACTTTAAATCTAACTTTTAACCCTAGTCATCAACTGTAAGTCATGATCTCAATTTCTCAAACTGGTTTGTAACCTTCATTTAGCCGTAGTGAGGAGATAAACATTCTCAAGGTTACTTTAGCATCGCTCATAGGTTGTCTATAAATTATGGTCTCACCGAAATAGCTTTATTCGATACCATAAACTTTTTAGAGTAGGTAGTACTAAATGTGCAATATTTTAATATGCTTAACACTCATTCGAATTTTTATTCTTCAGAATTGTCTTTTATAACTGTTATTATTAACCATTGATCTGTAATCATGATAATTTCATACAAAATGAACTGTTACAACTATTTTTTTTCATTCATCATATATAAGCTGCAATTGATCTAATGTACTTGTTTATCGTTTTTTCCATGAATAGGCAAGGTGGAAAATATTATCATCAACTGCAGTATTTCCGTTTAAGATTTCCTTTACTTAGCATTCTAATAACATTTAAATCTCTTATAAAAGCTTGTGAGTATACAAAGTTAGGAGGCATAATTATTCAGTTCAAATAAATCTAAACTAGGACGGTTCGTTTTAATTTTTCTTAGTATATAAGTAGCACGAAACGTTTAAATAGACCACTAAGTTTTGAATTTTTCAAAGTACCAAGTTCTTTATCATTCACTTGTGAAAGTTTATACTGTCCATGAGTTCCATACTAAGAGCTAACAGTTTACAGTGGTTGATCAACTCGTTGTAAAACTTATTTCAAGTCAGCCAACTCTATAAAATAAAAGGTTTTCACCAAATCATTAAGCTTGATATTAGTTGGTTAAAGACAATCAACATAGAGCCCTGATTTTGTGCAATTTAATATAGTCTAACGTGGTTCACTTGTCCTCCATGGAATCTAAATCCATCCCACCCAGATTTCCAATCAAAAAGCATTACCAAAAGTAGCGATAAGATCGAATTATTAACTCTTTTAATGTAATGGAATTCTATATAAATAACTGTGTTCAACATCATGCTGAAATTTATTTGTTCTATAATGACACTTTAGAGAAAATGAATTTTGTTAATATTATATTGTTCCGAATATGAAATAGAAAACTAGTCCATTAGAGCTTGCTAAACAGGAGTCATAGTTTTTTTAATTAATTCAATAGCTTCTCTGTTTTTTGTAATGTGTCACACATTGATAGTTCTGAATAGTGAAGGTTTTTCTCTTAGTTTAGAATTTTTTCATAACACTTTACTATTCATCCTTTTATTTTACACAGAAAAACCTCAAATATCACAAATCAGTGCAAACCAAACAATTCGCGTCGGTAATCAAGTTATACTTAATTGTCATGCATCAGGTGATCCACATCCGCAAATTAGTTGGATAGTTAAAAAACCCGGTTATAAAATTCCAAGTGTTTATACTCCATTAGTTGATAGTGAATTACTAATTCCCCAATCTACTGATTTATCTGATTCAAGTCGATCAGTTGATAATCATTTACAAGAACAACAATTTTTGCAACCACCACCGTCTAGTTCAAGTTCTTCATCAGTTTCGATTGATCATAATTTAAACAGTGCATCTAGTGCAGATGCTGTTGTAGCTGCTATTTCAAGAAATATGCAAACAAATGGAGGACGTATAACAGCATTTTCAAATGGTAGTTTAATTATTAAACAAGTGCATTTATCAGATCAAGCTGAGTATATATGCGTTGCTGGCAATAAACACGCTATCAAAACTCGTCAAGGAGTATTTGTCAGAGTACTCAGTGAGTATTTATCTTAAGCTAATTTTTCATAAATGCAGAAACCATTAGTTTACTTTGAATTTTCTCTTTTTTATTATGAGCGACATTTTTCATTAGCTGATCAAGATTTGTAGCCCAGGTGGATGATATTGGTGAAATTTTGTTCTCTAAGCTGGATGGTTTGTTAGGGAAGCTTTCATCATTATTATGAACGATATAATCAGCACAAACTTTTCTAAAGAAACCTCTATAGCGAAGTCAAATAAGAATGAGGAAAATAGACAGCCTTGATAAACATAACTTGATGTTATCAACTGTGACAAGTTCACCATAAGCTTTAGTTTAACCTGTAATATTTGAGAAAAGGGCCTTTCAAGGTTTATATACTGTTTCGGTACGTCTTTCGACAACCAATAATATACAGATCAATGAAGAATTTCTGTAATTTGTTTGTTTGAACATTTTTGGAATCCGATATATTGTCATACTTCTTGTTATTTAAGTTATTCTTAAACTTCACTATGGACGTTTACTCTTATTCGATTCAATCAAGTACATTGTTTACTTATCTTTAAAATAAAAAAAAACTGCAAACGAAAAGGAACATCACGAATAAAAAAGAATATGGATATATGAAAGAAATTTTAAAATTTTTTCTAACATTTTAACGTTTAAGCAACAACAGTCTTGAGTGTACAATTGAAAAGACTGATCACCTATAGCACTAGATATCTAACTCATTTTAAACATTATTTACATATTAACAATAAGATATCACAGAATATGTGATTCATCCATAGAGTAATAAATATATTTCGTGTATTACCTATTTATCAACCATTGAAATACGAAGCATATTATTGGCTGAAAGATTAAAGCACATGAAGTGTTATTTTCATTTCTCCCCAACTATTGAGGCATATTTTTTTTCAAAAATACTAGTAAATTATTCATTTTTTTGTTAGAAAACATTTGTTTACAAGAATGAATTCATGTATAATCTAAGTATAACTGCACAGATTAATAATGTAACTATATATATAGGTATATGCATTTCTAAGAGCCATGCATCTGTACTGTTTTTATTCAGATTAATCTTTACTTCTATTGTTTACTTACTGACATTTTAATATTTATTTGTTTGTTCGTGTTTTTTATGCGTATGTATTCGTAACATTATTCAGCTCCGGAAGAATATACTCGACAACAGCTTGGTGAAGATGGTACAAATACTGGCATGATGAAAACTATTTTTATAGTAGTTGGATGTGCTGTTGCCTATTTAGGCTTAATTATTGGATTAACAACATTCTGTAGTGTTCGTATGGTACGTACACGACGTAACCGATCACGTAAGAGTGGTAAGTCTATAAGTTGAGAATTAACTCATTAATCATTTTTTTATATGATATTTTGTATTTTGTTATTATTATTGTTGTTGATGAAAAGGAAGATGATTCACTCCTGTCATTCCATCTACTCACCCACTTATTTACATTTATTACAATGTACGTCAGCATAGTTGGATATTACTACTACCACTACTCTGTCTCCCACAAACAAGATTCGAATTTTAGTTTTTCATGTTTCTATCGCATTACAGTTAAGGATTTATGTTTTGATCAATTCTAAATGTATTTGGGCTTTGTTTGTTTGTTTCTTTGTTGTTGTTATCTTAAGAAGCTGTTTTCATACTTTCATTGCACAAGATATATATATATATATATATATATATATATATATATATACTTCAATTTCATAAGCTTTATATTTTTTTATAAAGAATAGGAAAAATGTCTGGTTTGACCTGACGAAAACGGAATCAAAGAAGAAATTCATATTTCTCCCCCCCCTAATTTTTTTAGTGATTAATGAGATTTCTTAGTTTTCTCAAGAAGACCGAAACATCAAAATAATCAAACAAGTTATGGGTAATGAAAAGTGTATCAAATAATAAGAATTTGGAAGTGCATATATAAACAGAAAGAAAACAAATTTAGCATAGTATATATTTACCTCTTAAATGTTTAGACTGTCTTATTTATTCATAAAGAAAAAAAACATTCATTCAACTTTTATTAATAAATCATTTAACAAATAAAGAGAGAAAAAAGTCGTTAATCAAAACAGAATCACTTGTCTTAACTGGCAATAAAAACTGAAGATTTATTATAATACATGATTAGTGTTTGTATGGATTTCTGTTGTTTTGGTCAATAATTACTCGACTCTCTTCTTCTCTTCATGTAATAATATAAATAAATATAACATTATTAATGATTATATTCACAGGGTGGTGGGTAACAGTGATACATAAGACATAAATACCACAGATTCATGTATATAAAATATTCCTAATCATAAATGTATCATGTTTTTCAGTAATATATATATATATATATATATATACCCCCAACTTAATTTTTTTATTTAGTAAATTTACTAAATCTTAAACAAACAAATCAGTTCATAAGAATCTTGTCATTGTTCTACATTTTTTGATTATCTTGATAAAACGTAAACCAACATGAAGGAGTATACAAGTACATTTCCGTCTAATAGTTTGTTTGTTTTTCATATTTAAAAAAGTAACAGGCCAAACAAGACAAATAGTTTTGATTTCTCTAAGGAATTACACAGTGTTATGATTTTTATTTTATACATCATAAAGATCCTGTCTCATGTTTATTGTATTAAGATTTTAATTACGATTGTGAATCATTATGTAGTAACATAACTGGATTCAATATTGGTTAGACAATAAAAACAAGATCAACAATTAGGTTTCGTACTTATAGGATTAATCATAAAAAGAAGAGGTCGGTTTTAAAACTCTTAACTCTTCTAGACATACATATTTGCTTACTATAGGAAGTGAAATTGTGGAGGTTGTTGAATTTTATTGTATTCCTCACAAACTGATTTCAATTAAACAACTATTAGAAACCAGGAAGCCAGGAAGGTGTCCCATACTAAGACGAAATATCTATCCAATGCCTTCTAGTTTTCAAACGTTGTTTATCAAAGGTTAGTCCATGATATAGACCATAAAATTTAGATTTGAAAATAAAAGAAATCAACTTAATTATTTATTCTCCAATTAATAAAGTTCATTTTGTCGAATTCACCAGCATATGAAGAAGTGACACTGAACCCCCTTGTGTTCATAGGTAATATTGATATAATTAACTTACCCTCATCCGATTCGGAACACTTTTTTCCTCTATCTAAATACTACATTTAACAGAAGCAGTCGTTTATAGGCTCTTACTTTTATCAGCAATTTATATATGATTTTAAAACTTGTTTTGAATTTAATATTTTTTTAAAACGGCATTATTTATTTAAAGAATCGTATACACTCTCATATATATTTATCCGGTTTAAGATTGTTACAGTTCATTAGAAAAAGTCAGTAAAATCTGATTTTCGTCTCTTTAACTTAGGTGGCAAGTTACATGAAAATGGTCAATTACTTAATCCTTTGAATGATCCTAGTAATCCGAATGGTGGTAAAAGAGGATCACAAGGAAGCGGCGGGGGTGGCGCTGGAACTGGTAGTATGGAATGCGGTTTATTAATAGGAGGCGGTTGCACATCAGGGATAAATACAACTGCAAATGCATCTCTTAGCCAACTACCTCATTATGGTCGCCCCGTGTTGACTAGTGCATCTGGCACACGAAGTGGAACAAGTTATCCTGATAGTGGTACTTTACCACATCCTTTATTGTGTACAGAGCCTGGGGCAAATCAAAGGCCAAATATTTCAGTAAATGATACAAAATGCTGGTGGCCTATAAGTGACAATGCATATTATGGACAAAACGATGCTCAGGCCAAACTACTACAGTCAGCCGGTGCTTCTGGACCAATAGACGGATTTGCTAATCCTTTGACAGATATTGGAGATCTTAACGGTCACTCATATGTACATGGACACTCTATGATGAGTCCGTCATGTAATCTTATGTTTTCGGCGCATAAAGGCACTAGTACGGGTGTGGCTAGTAGTACAATCGCTACAACTACATCTGAATCACATCTTGTTTCTGCACCGCCACCAACTCCACTTGATTCACGATCACATTTTAGTGGAGTATCTTCTGGTAATTCAACTAGCTTGTACTCTCGTTCCCTTTTAAGTGGTGCTTCTAATTTCGGATCACCTCCCAATCAAATGTCTTCACATGTGAATAGCTTGAATCAATATGACCAGTCAAATGCATTACACACTATTAGTCAAACAGATCGTATGAATTATCCACGCTGTGAACTACAAATGGAAGGAATTCTAGGTTTGTTTATTATTATATTTATTCGGTATTAATTACGATATAAAGAAGATTGTTGAAATGTTTTCTGTTTCATAATGATTTTAAATCAATTTGATTTTCAGTAGTATTTTGAAGTTGAATGGAAAGATGCATAATAAAGCAGTCCTCCTTTCTCGTGAACTGTAAATTGCGCATACTATTAAATTATTTTAATTTAATCCAACTCTTTAATGAAAAACCTGTTCATATATTTTGGGCTGAATTTGTGTATGAGAATTGCTGATATTATCCGACTTCCTGAACCGGTGTAAGTCAAGTAAAATATGAACATGATACCTAAAGACTGATATATGGGCCTAAACCTGCAAGCCGCTGTTGCACTGTATGTGCATGGCATTGGCTAACGAATACTCACTACAACTTCTATTCTGTAATATATTAGTTAGTTCAAGAAGTTCTCAGTTTCAGGCTCCTCTTTTCACATAATGTAGTCAAAGATGCTAACAGGTGTACTGACGAACACGTATTACATTCGAGAAGTTTTAGCCATACACAATTCAAAACTTAAGTTGTGTTTGCAAAAGACGATTTCTTAGGTTCAGAGTTATTCTTCTTGTGTTCATAATATCCTACTCTCAAACATAATATATTCAACTCTATAGTTTCAATGAACTCTTAAAAGACTGATTGTAGACCAAAATGATTCAATATTTTATCACTACTGATATTTATCAGGGATAAAATAATAGTCATAAGTTCACAATTGTAATGAAGTTTTAACTCGGTTTCAGATTATTTGAAATATCTTCATTTGTTTCAAATGCTTATTAGAAAAATATCAGACATATATAGTGAAATTGCTTCGTTGTTTTACAGGGAAAGGTGAATTCGGTGATGTATTCTTGGCTCGTGCTCGCCATATACAAGAAGGTGAAGCCCAATCCTTAGTATTAGTCAAATCATTGACTTCATGTGATTCAGTACATATTAATGAGTTTCATCGTCAATTAGAATTGTTTGGTCAGTCTGATCATGATTATGTTACACGTTTATTAGGGGTATGCATGGAACAAGAACCATTCTATATTTTGTTAGAGTATTGTGAATGGGTAAGTATGGATTCGTTATCATTTTATTCACTTAAATCTTTGGGTATATTTTAACGAAGTTTGAATAATTTGCAATACTTCGATTCGTGGTTGATTGGACTAAAAAATAAATGGTTCAACGAAAAGTAGATTTATTGAGAAAATTGATAAATTGTAACCTCTGAAGATGTTTTTCATTATGAAATGATACCATTTGAAAGACCAATATACACTGAAGAAGTCGTAGTTTGGAAATCCCTAGTAATGTACACGTACAATTCCTTAGTTATTTTCACATACTACTACATGTCAAGTACTTTGTTAAGATGTGATATTTGTTCCTACTTAGTGATCTATCTGTGTGAAAATATCGGTTCTATGAGAAGTCAGTTGGATATTAATTTTCTCAGTAGTAGCGTCTTGTAACACTTGATAAGATGGGTTGGAACAGCACGAAAAGATTTAGTTCCCTCAATTTTACAGATACTTTCCGTTGATATTTACCAACAAGCATAATACCAAAGTACAGGGCTTCCTGCTAATAGGCTCCAACCACGTAATATTAGAACATAGTGCATTGAATTTCCAATCCTCAAGACTAGTGCCTATGTCACTATTTTATCAATAGTTCGATCAGTACTAAAGACTAAACAAAAATGACGTTAGTTACTACTTTGTAATCAGTCAGTAGAGCAAAAACCATTCACTGGAACAAGATTCCGTACTAGTTATGCTAACCGTGGAAATAATTTAAGTATTTAGTTGTCTTAAATATATTAGTACGTTGTCTTTTTAACCAACCATATTAAATGGATCGTCGGACAAGTGAATAATTTCCCATTCGTACTAACAGCCAAATAAAAAAGATAGTTTAGACGTGCGTTAGAATTTAGTAAGCCCATCTGGTTGCATGCATATTGTAATCAGGCTTTAATTTAGCAGAATCTTGACAACAAATGATGATCATTCGAAAAAAAGCCAACAGATTATAAATAACGTCATAGTTTGCATTGTACATTTAATTTAGAAATAACTTTTCTGTTTTTTTCTGCTCAACCTAAATGAAGTATAGTTTTCCTGATTGGATCAAATACTATAAGACCGTAGTTCTTGGTATATATAAAAAATAGAGTCGTATTAACTGTTGTTTCTTTTAAATATACAATTATCTAAATGTTACAAGCAAAGATGGCTAGTGGCTAGTAGTGGAATCCAGGACGTACGTTTCGTCCTATTTGGGACTCATCAGTTGAATGTACTTGCATCTCAGAGTTGATGTTCACTATGAGGCTTGAACCCGGTACTGTTCGTTTCAAACGCCATCGCGTTATCCACTTAGCTACTGAGTCCTGCAGGCTATTTGCTAAATGGTTTTTCACAAATCCATTTTTCATTCTTTTCTTGCATTACCGGTCATGTAGAAATCAATCCCAGTTTGTATAACTTTCGTTTTTATAGTTACTAAAGCAGTTCTATTATATGTGGTTACTATCAACTAACCAACTAATTTCCGAATATTCTCTTGTGATTCATAACATTTTATATGTTTTTCCTCGTTATTTTTAGGGTGATCTAAAACAATTTTTACGTTGTATGCGTGAAGAGAATTCAGCACCATTTAAAATGCCACCTTTAACTTGTACACAAAAGATGAGTATATGCAAGCAATTAGCTCTTGGTATGGATTATTTAGCTCATATGCATTGTGTTCATCGTGATTTGGCAGCTAGAAATGTACTATTGACTCAAGGTTTAGAAGTAAAAATATCAAGTCTTGGTTTAGCTAGAGATGTTTATGCAAACGAATATTATCGTTTACCTAATACAGAGCAATTCATACCATTAAGATGGTTTGCACCAGAACTTATTCATGAAATAACGACTAATACAACAATGAATACAACTGCACGACATGTATCATTATGTAATGGACATGAAAATAAATCATTGAAACAATTAGCTAATCCAGCTATACCTTATTCTACACAATCCGATGTTTGGGCATTCGGTATATTAGTTTGTGAAGTCTTTTCATTAGCAGCACTTCCTTTAGCTAGATTGTCTGATCAAGAAATTATTGTTGCTGGTCAGCGTACAGCTATGCTGCTAAATAATACTAGTGGTTTCACTAAATCAAAACTTAACACTACCGATTCATCACCACTGAAACCAGATTTAGTTGCTGATATACCAGGTGAATTGGGTAATTTATTAAATCGTTGTTGGTCTCCAACACCACAACATCGACCTACATTCAGTGAAATTGTTATTATTATACGTGATCTTGCTGCATCATAATTTCATTTACATTCTTTTTCTTTCAATTTTTTTCTCCCTTATAGTTTTTTTTGTGTTCATTTATCTATGTTAAAATTAATTTATAAAATCACTACAAAAGTAAATTGAACAGTATGATGATGAAGAAAAAAATTGAAGAAACTAATTAATCATTTTGTAATCACAAACAATATAAACCATTTTCTAAAATTTTCAGCATCTTTTTACTTATTTATTTATTTACATTCTTTCGAGTTAGTTCTATTCATTTATGAATATTCAACAAAAAGACCCCCCCTTCGGCCAGATTGTTATTTATTTCATGTCAATAAAATAGTAATTACTACATTAGTCATTATCATAGTTTCATTGTTTAACGTGTATTATAATAAAACACTAACGAAATTTAATTTGAATTAAATTACGCAATTCAAATAAAGCACAATTAATTATTCTTTCATAATTAAATGTAATTAGGTTGATTAAAATACGTTTGCTTAGTTACTATTCATTATATATATATATATATATATATATATATATATATATATATATATAGTTTACAAATCAAAATACAATATCTTAAATCTTTCCTTCATTTATTCTTATCTCCATCCTTTTTAATCTCATTTTCATTATTAGTAGTATAAGTTGTTAGTTGTAAAAAAATAATAAAAGTTGATGTGTTTTCTTCATTCTTGTGAAAACATCTTTTTTTCTTTAATTCATATGTTAATAAAAATCATTAAGCTTTTATTCTTTCTTTTTTTAATTTTTTTAAAAAAATATTTACAATTAATTATTTATTTTTCTCTATTTTTAACTCTATTCTCTACATTCACTGTTCTCATTTTATTAAATTTTAAAATAATATGTAATTTTACAATATCAAAACAAACTAATACTAATCAATGTATAATAGACTTTAAATACAGCTAATATTGACTTATTCTACAGTACCTTCACCAGTGTTCCTATAATTCTTTTTTTATTAATGGTGGTGATTAACTGAATTATGTTATACATTTTCATTAAAGTGTACATATAAAATATTCAAATAATTATGGGCATATATACTAACGTATATTTTATATTTTCTTTTTTGTTTACATTTACAAAATTAATATTTACAGGATTATATTACTAATGATTATAATTGCTCTCTCGATTGGATATTTTTGTTATTTCAACTCCTTGAATAATTTCTTTTCTTCATTTATTTACTCACAACTTTTGTGAGTAATAACAAAATTAATTCATTAATAAGTCATTTATTTACCCCGGTTTACTTATTTTCAAAGGATCCATATGTATTTTCACTTTCATTATAATGCTTAACATCTGTATTCAATAGACTTAATTCATCTGTGAATAAATGGTGTCAAATCTTTTTTTCCTACAAATTGTACATTTCATGCTATAAAATTGATGCCAATACTATTACTGATAATAATAATATTAATAGTGCATATCATATTGCAGCTCTCTTTTTTTTCATTATCAATACTGTATCATTGTCAGAAATATGCATTTTAATTATCTACAAATAAACATGCTTTCCTTCTGTATGCATTATACAATGCATCTCTCTGTTTTCATTCTGGCCACGTTTTGTTTGTTTTTTGTTTAGGTAAAGAGTTCAGCTTTATTTGTCATTATATATAATAAAACACATGTGTTGCTTCTTTTTATGCCATTTCTACACTTATCTACTGTATTCTCTTTTTTTTCAATATCCTGTTTACCAAAACAATAAAACAGAAAGAAATCATACTGTTTTTTATAGGAATAAATTTTCAAATATTTATCATTCATTGAAGAAATGTTCATATTCTTTTTAATTGTTTTCATCCTTTCTTTTTCCATGGCTTTTGTTATTACCTTATTATTGTATAACCCATCTCACATTATAAGTAATCTTGGTTGCATCATAACCATATTATTCTTCTATAATTTTGTTTACAGTTTATTTCCATTTCTTTAGAATATATTTATTAACACTGACAAAAAATTTATTGTTTATTTAGCATTTTGAATTATCTTTTTAATTAAATACTTTTTCTTTTGTCTTTATTCTCTTCATTTTCTGTATATTACATAACAATTACTGAAGATTGGTGAATGAATGAATAAAAAAATTGATAGGGTTTCTAGAAAAAGAATCAAATCAAATATATATATTACTTCACCTATGATGATCTCAGTTTATCTTTCTTCTTTCTGTATTTCAGCAAGTTTTCTTTCTAAAATGAAATCGAGATGAAAATCATAATTCATTATTACTATTATTATTATTGTTATTGTTATATTGTTACTAATAATTTACAAATAAATTGCTTTTGTTTACTCATTTATTAAAAATAAACACTATAGTAAAACACAAATGACTTAAGAGATGATATAGAACTATATGTACAATAAAAGCAAAATGTTTTGTGAAATAATTGTTTCTTTTCACTAAATATAAAACAACACAGTCATTAAGTGTAAAAAAATTAATAAAACAATTAATTCGATCAATAATGATAATGATTGATAAGTAGTAAGTGTTTTACGGATTTAATTGATAGAAAATAAAAAAATAGAAAGTTTAGATTTGTGTTCATTAATTTTTCTTCCACACCATCACTGCTCAAGTGGAGTTACTATCCACATTGTTAAGAAAATTTAGTAATATAGTGAAATGATCATCTACTAAACAATGATCAGTACTTTTTCACAAATAGTTAGCCTATCAAAATGCTGAAATTAAGCGAATCTTTATATATACTTTGAGAATTTTATTATCATTGTTAGTGATTGCAAATACAGACAAGTTAAATTATGAGTTTATTTGGTAAGACTATAATTTATGGACGAATTAGTCAGATATAAGATAACAGGTCTTGAATCTTGGTGCAAAACTCATTTGTCCATTTGGCTAAATAGCATTTTAGCTGATGTCAGTTCCTGATGAAAACTTTAAATCTAACTCCTAACCCTATTCATCAACTGAAAATCCTAATCTCAATTCCTCACACTGGTTTGCAACCTCGTGAGTAGATGAACATTCTCAAGGTCACTTGCGTCGCTTAAAGGTTATTCATAAATTATAGTCACTTTTTTCCCGTTAATCAAACGGCTGGAGGTATTTCTTTAAACAATCTAAAGTCTCATTGAGTTCTGAATCTACAACTGGTTTGGCAAAACTCTGAAACGTCTAAGATAAGAAAACTTACAATCTACTCAAGAGATTGATCATTGAATTCCAGAAAATAACTACTAATCAATGTAATGAATAAGTTACTTTTTCTATGCAAGTCAATTAAAATAATCTAACCGAGTTGCCTATATGATAACATTACTGATCTTTTCACTTTCCGTCCTAACAATGTGAAATAATGTAAGATCGTGTGGAAAACAGAAGTCTCAAAAAGTATAACGTTCTTAAAGATAAATATTCTTATTACCTTCCGTTCTTACCATTAGAACTGATGTAGATGATATAAAATGTACGGCAAATCTTGATTGATGCTTAAATTTTTGTTACAAAGAATACAACTCGTAGTTCTTTCGTCCCTCATTTATTCCATAAATGTCAGATAATTTAAAATATAATATTTAAAAAAATTATATTGATCCTTAAAGACGATAAATGATAATGTAGTTGATCCAAGGCATATAATACTTTTACGAATCTATTTCAAATGATTAGTCACTATAATGAAATCCTGAAGTACCATAACAGATGAATTTGAACTTCAGTTTGATATTTTGAATTGTTAACACTTGATTCATTGATGAATATTACTAAAAAAAGGTTTTTTATTTCCAATAATTAACTGGTTGAATAAGAACGCCGATCATTCACTTTGTATTAAATTCACTTGGGAACTTATTAATTGCACTGGTTACTGAATTCGTGTACAGGATCTTGAAGAAGTCCCATACTATGACAAAACGTCCATCCAAGGCTTCCAGGTTTTCATTAGTGGTCTAATATTAATCAGTTCATGATCTCGATAAAAATAATAATTTCATATTGTTTTTTTTGCTACTTCAAAATTATCTAAATATGCATTAAAAAAATTCATAACTATAACTTCCTCCGTATAGGGAAGTTGAAATATGGTATATCATACTGTTTGGCGTTTATGAGCCATAATGTTTTATATGGAAGATGTCATAGATTTTGTCCGTTTTTTTAGTTTAACGAAATTTAAATTTATTCTTTACATCTAATGGTATGTTGTGGTTCTTCATGCCCATTAGGAGATTATAAGTTTTCTTACATAACAGAACTTTATTTTTAACAGACAAATTGTTATTTAAGGTATGAATTGTTATTAGGAGATGCATTCTGTTATTAGGGTATATATAAATTACATGAATAAAATGAATACAGTATAAAAATGCAATCATTTCATTTATTGCAGCCAATTAAAATACTTTCTACAGATGGTTTAATCCTAATAATAAGATATACACTCAATTAAAATTATGTATTTTCTTTTTATAAATAAATAAGAAATTATCTTACAGCAGATGTAATGAAAATGGTTTATGATTATGTAATTTATCAGGCATAGAAGTAATTTGAAGAAGGTAGTGTAGAATACTCATTATTTCTCGCTTATTTTTCCTTGTACGTTATTTTATTAGTTAATCTTACTTTAAACGTATTGCTATTTATTGAACCACTTATAACATTTACTCACACGTTAGCTATAAGTCTTCTAAATTTGTTAAATTATCAATAAAAGCATCTTTACTCGGCAGTGTGGTTTATTCGATGAACATATATAAACAGAAGATATTTACGTTATATTTTTCAACAGTTGAGATCATGAATCAAGTAAAGCTAGACCACCATGAAAAATTTTGAAGCTCTGAATGGCCGTTTCGTCCTATTGTGGGACCATTCAGCAGTGCACAACCACGATCCCGTTCTACGAGACTCGAACCCAGGATCTATCAGTCTCGCACGCGAACGCTTAACCACTAGACCACTGAGCCTGCATCCAACGGTGTTAATGTCAAACTTCAACGAATCCACGAAATTGAGCGACACATCCACCTTTGTTTTCAATGAGTTACTATCTCACAACAGACCCGGTTGAACTCCATTAGTCACTGCTTCTCACTAGAACTCCAAGAAATACCTCTTAAAGCCAGTCATTATTGAGCATATGTTGATTCGTATCAGAAGGGGTTTTGTGGATATTATGGTAATTTCAATGGTTTACATCATGGGTTAATTGAATTATGCTATAGTTTATATAATTTAGTACTCTGTTAGAATAATCGTTAAAGGTGTATAGGTTAAACAGAATCAAGAGATGATATTCAAGGCTTTATCAAAGAAATCGAATTTTATTTCGCGTAATTTGAATCGACTACAGTTAAATGTTTGGAGTTAGAATTTATCTAGAATACAAATTATTTGTGACTGGAACAATTGATGCATTTTAATATTACAAAAACATTTCAGAGTATTTGAATCTTTTAGCAAACCATTACAATAAATAATAATTATTATTAATTCACTTGATATTGTTTTATTTGAATCTTCCCATTGATGTTTAGGACTGAAATTGTTCAGTCTCTTATTGGCAATATCGAGGCATACGCACAGTATGCACATATGCCAATAAGAGACTGAACAATTTCAGTCCTAAACATCAATGGGAAGATTCAAATAAAACAATATCAAGTGAATTAAACTTCACCCCATTGCACAAGCAAGTGGCTATCAGGACTCAGTAGTTAAGTGGATAACGCGATGGCGTTTGAAGCGGACGATACTGGGTTCGAGTCCCGGAGTGAACATCAACTCTGAGATGCAGGTACGTCCAGCTGACGAGTTCCAAATAGGATGAAACGCGCTTCCTGGATTCCACTGCTAGCCACTATCCATCTTTGCTAATAATTATTATTGACTTATCAAAAGTTGAACATCTCAGAGTTCAAAATGACGAAAACTGAAAAGATTTTTTTTAATGATCCACGTGCTCTTCAGTGACCAGTTTATTGATGGATTTTGGATATTTTGTTGATAGGCCATAACTGGTAGAATTCAGCTATGTCTGATATGAGACAATTGTCCATTTTAGTGTTAAATAATCGTTACAGTGTATCATAAATGGATTGAATTTTACGATAAACTGTCGGGTTTCAATTCAATCATCGAACGATTCAAAACTCACCACAAACACATATAATCCTTGAAAATTCTAATGTATGTACTATTGATGAGTCTTAAATTGGTAAAAAAAAAGTAGATTCCCAAAAATCTCTATTTTACAAATGGCTTTTTAACAGATAGTTTAATCTATTGGAAAATCTTTCTTCATAGTGTTACATATAGTCAACTTGAAAATATTGATTATGTAATATAAAAATATAACAGTAGTTAAAGAAAATTTCATGTTTTAATAAATCATTTACTCAATACATTTTATACTATACTGAATATATATTTTTCTTTTTTAGAAAAATTATCTCTATTAACTTTAAACATTTTTCCTAAAATAGTTCAATTAACTTTTCTTTTTCTTTATTTCATTTGCAGTTCTTTTCTCTTTTCTTTCTTTCTTGGACCATTTACTTATGATTCTTCTCCTTTTCTTTTTTTCTTTCCTTTTCAAGTAGTTAACTTATCTAGTAAAATCATTTTTAATTTAATTTATGAAATATGTTTCAGTTTTTTTTGTTTTAGTTCATTAATTCATCTTTAAATCTACTTTCATTTATTGTTACCGATTTTTCTCTTAAGTTAATATAGACAACTTTGAAAAATTTTTTTAAAAAACCTTAAATGATAAACTTAAACTGAAATTGAAAACAAAACAAAAACAAAACAAGAAATGAAAACAATGAATAAAACTTATTTAATGACATACATAAATCTGTAGCATATTCAAGATGCATTTCATCATTTGTATGCTTTTAGTTTAATTTTTTTCCCATAAAAATGAAGTTGTCCTTTATTTTATTTCCAGTGTTGCCAAAATTACTGCTAATCTTCATTTCATTCATGTTTATGTGTTTGTATGTGTTTGTGTGTGTGAGAGAGGATAATTTTTACTAGCAAATCCAATAAATATATATTGAACATTTTTGTACCTATAGTAAAAATGTTCACTTTTCATTTATGTTCTTTTTTTCTCCATTTGAATGACAAAATTATTTGAAATTATGTAAAGAAATAGAAAGAGTTGGTTCTCTTCATCTTTACATATATTACATGCTCCCATATTGTTTTTTAACATTATTTAAAGAATTTAATGTTATAAAAGTGAAAAGAAAACAAACAAACAAACTCGTTAATAGCATTTTATTGTTAAATAAAATAATGATTAGTTAGTAAATTATGTTTCTTTGTTTTATATTCATATTTATTTGATTATTTATTATTACAAAATGAATAGATTACATTAATCTATTCAAATGTAAATGA